CTTCAATAATATGTCAGAAAAAAAATCACAACGACGCTCATATAACTGTCAAACCCCGAGATCAATTGGTCAGAAGTTGAAGAAAAAACGAGCAAGCAAGGCCATGATGCCTGCTAGAAAGGAAAACATAAGCTTACAAAAAAAGAACGCGAGGAACATGCTCACCGGAGTTGAAGCGTCTGCATCTTGAATACCCAGTTCAAAAACAGAAAGAACCAACCGCCGCTTCACCGTTGTCAGCGGTGCCACGTCCGGTGAGACGATGCCTGAGACCTTCGAGGAAGGCCCCCAACAATCATCCAGGTGTGCAATCACGCATCTGCCTGCCCACGCCCCCGTGTAGGAGCGGCTTTCCACACCCGGATAACACCAGTACCCAGGATGCTTTAGGACATGTGTGGCGCAGCGATTGGTTGTTCTGCAAGTGAAAGGGTACCCGCCGAGTGTATTGTGCTTGTGAAAAGATGAGCTGGTGGTCCCAAAGGATGCTCGTGAGGTGGCTGACAAAATAATGGAAGGATAGAGCTTACAAAAAGCGCATGAGCCTGCGCAATTAAAAACGCCAGGCTCAGAAAGAAGAATCGCTGTGGGAAAGACGCCACTGAAGGATAGATATTAAGGCGATGCCCGAAGCAAAAAGGATTTACGACTCACCAATAATCAAATGCGCCGTGTGTCGACGAGGTTCAACCCGCCACAAGAAAGACAAAGCCACTTATGCACCATGTTGAAACCAAGTCAACCTTCATCCAGTGTCAGTCCTGGCAGATGGTGTGTCACTCCGGCCCCCCTGACGGGAGGGGCCACGCCAACACCCCGATACCTGGATCGATTACACACCCAGGCAAGGGATGCGGCTACTTTACTACGCTTAGGCTCATGGCCACCACGCAATAGGAGATGTGACCGTGGCGATACCTGACTTGGAGACGGGAATGGATGATTCGCCTAGAAATAGGCTGCGGTGGTGCCAGTGTTCGGGTCGATGATGTTGTTGAGTTGGCGAGCTAACTTAGAGATCGTGAGGCGTTGGGCGTGGCTGGCTGGCTTAGACAATTAGCGTGCGTGGAAGTGAACAAGATGCGTGGCGTACTGGTACTTAGCAGGCGTGAGGAGTGGCTCAAGCAGGTGAACATCGCAAAGGCGAGATCATTGATGAGATAGAATGAAAATAGTGAGGTCGTTGAATAGAAGGCACTAAGAATCAAGGCGGGAGCCGCTAGTAAAGGGGGTGGTGGTAGTGGGTTTGACCTGAGCTATGGTCAGTTTGTTCAACAGCTTTAAAGTTTATTTATAGCCGTGAGCGTATTTGGTCGGGTGTGGACGAGCTTGGGTCGCCAAACATACGCCTTCTCTTTGAATTTGCGTTGGGCATCGGTTGCCCTCACCTTGTTTGCAACCCTCTAATAGGAGCGCAGAGCTTCGAACATTGCCTATCACCTAAATGCTCAATGGAAATGGGTAACCTGGTATCAATAAAGCTCCGGGAAGAAGACTCAACAAGTTATAAAACCAAGCTTCAAGTTGGGTGCGCTTGAATGCCATTGTATCGCATATTTCTGATTATGCATCTACAGACGGAGATATTCTCGAGAAACACGCACAAAAATCGAACCACAAGCAGTGGGTGAAGATAATTTGAACCATAAGGTTACGAGAAACGAAACAAGCCGGATGCTGGATGGAGTGGTTAGGAGAACTTGGACTGGCGCCAGCGGTGCGCGTGCCTGCCAAATGTCGGGTGGTCGAAAGCAAGTCGAAAGAGTGCTACTGTGTAGTCTGGAAGAACTTAGAAGGTGTCAGTGAAAGGGGTGTCATCGGTGATAGCCGGCGCGGTTGAGGCACCAGGAGGAAGCGCCCACCAGCTGTTGCGACCTACGACCTCACCATGGCCACTGCTGATGGAGCGCGCAAAGTTGAGAACACCGCTGGCCAAGCTTCTCTGGATGGGCAGGGAGGAACTGAGCCAGTAAGTGTTGTGTCAAGAGTCTCAGCACTTTTGATCTTGAATTCGGATAAATTAGGCATCTCAAACGAGAAGCGAACACCGTAATAGTGCGTACTCTTCGTCATATACATCGTCTATTTCACATAATACGCGCAGTATACTATCGGTTATATACCAAAGAAGGCCGACTCGAATCAAACAACCCGATCTTCTCCAACGATCGCTTCATCAGTCGCATCTCGTCTAAATCAGTGAGACCCCCTCACACAGCCGCCTCGCTGAAGAGGTACGTCTGCAAGGTTGAAGGCATGGAAGGCTCGGAAAAGGGCGCTTTGTATCTGTCGCTGTCAGAAAAAAAGCCTTTGAACGACTCTGCTCGTCTTGCGCTCCGATGGAACTCTGGGCCAGGATCATCTGAGTTTGACCCTGTGGTTCTCGTTGTTGACAAGGGCGCCCTTGAGAAGAGACCCAAATCTGCGAGTAATGCAGGCTCGAATGAATTACCCGCATGGGAGATTGAAGAACGCTTTGGTGCGCCTTGTGCTTTTGTTCTCAATAACGCTCAAACTCACGCTCGCCAGTGTATTACCGACTTTACGACGATGACGGCGAAGCTGTCTCAAAGACGTCGTTTGACGAAAGCGACTCTTCTGTGGGTCGCATCGACATATATACCATCCCAGTACCGCACACAGTCGCTTCCTTGAAATATTGCCTTGTTCATGTAGAAGGGGTCTCAGGTCACGATGTTCAGTTGCTTGAAAATGAGGATGCAGAGACTACCTTAAACGACGGCGATGCCATTGCCATTCTCACTGATGATTTTCCAGGCTCAAAAGATGATCAGCCAATAGTGTTTACGGAATCCTTCTGGTAAAACTATGGCATCGGAGAACCCATCCTTTTCGAGACGTCTTACAGCCACCGCAAACTGGGGTGAGTGGTGATTATTTTCAAGGGATACTGTGTTGTCTCTCATGTTGTTTAGCCGGCGCGACGTTGAATGACGGGTTGCACTCAATCGTTACCGGAGAGATCTTTCAAACAGACGGAGTTCTCACGAATAAGTCGTTCCAGTATGGTTCTACTTCCTATGGTATTTCTGTCTGTCTTTGGCATTTTTGTTTTTACTGACCTTTTCGGGATAGAATATCCATGCTATGTTGGAATCAATAGTTCTGGAAAGAAAGCTTGTATGTTCCTATTTAATCCTTTGGTTCGAGGACGGGACTTTCTTTCTTATATGACTTTTTTTTCAGTTGTTCACTCAAGTGAGTTCTTACTTTGTCTACCGATTAATTCGCTATTACATGTAGCCCCCAGGTTTTGTGAGGTTATCGTGACACTTCCTTGCAATTCGTGTTCTTTTTTCGATGTTTTTTGAAATGGTTAAAAAGTTCCACAGAAAAGAGATGGAAATAGTGTCTGTGAGGTAAAAGAGTATCAATATGTTGCCTATAACTCGAGAAAGCCCGAGTCCTGATGACTCCTCTACATACTATACGCCGAGATGAAGTTCCACATATTCCTCGGGGGGTCGTGGCACAAAACGTGGAATGCGGGAAATATCGTGCAGCCAGAAATCCTTCCTTTCTTGAAGTGTGAAGAAAGATTTACTTTTCTGTAGCAGCGGTTTTGAAGCGGCCGCTGCGCCAACTTTAAATTTAAATTTCCCTATTCTCGAGTACATATATTCTATGTTTTCCTACATCCATGCATCGTCTTGTGCTCCTTCCAACCATCTTTAAGACACTCGGAACCACACAAAAACGCCCGACCACGACATGAACCTATACAGAAATATCATCAATTTCCAAAAGAAAAAAAGAAAAAGACCACTGCGAACCTCCACATTCCCTCCAAGGCCCAGCATTCCCACACGCAAAACACCTCTGGTAAGGACCAGCCTTGGCCGTTCTTATCTCCTCTTCCAAATTAACGGCATCAAAATGCCCACCAGGAACATCCAACCGGAGCTCCCACAAATCGCCAAAAGGCTGAGACACCACATCCGGGCGGCAGGGTATAAAATCGGAATTGACGTACCCTCCGAAGAGGTACATCTTCCCCGTGTCAGTGTCCGTCACCAATTGCGCCGTGCATCGGTACGTGGGGAAGCCGTGAGTGATGACTTGTCTCCATTTGGGCTGAGAGATTGCGGAGGCGGGGATAGGTGTGCCTGAGGATGCAGATGGTGTGGAGGGTTGTTTCGAGTCCGGGATTCGTAGACGAAAGTGTCGGCGAGGTAGGCGAATTGGAAAGAGACGATTTTTTTCGCGGTAGACGGTTGTCATTGCTAGGAAAAAATATATATGTTTGCGGAGCGTAAAAGCTTTGAGTGAGGAATTGAAAAAGAGACAGAGCCCGGCGGATTTGATTTTTTTTTCCAACTTTATAAGGGGGATGTGGTGGATAAAAGACAACGAGAATTATTTGTTGCATCATTAAAGTGAAGTTCAAGTGACGAACGGAAAAAGAAAAAACTACATAAGGTGAGGGCAGGGACCGAGGATTCATGACTGGAGAAGGAAGATGGGAGTGACTGATGAGAAGGAATAGAAGAAACGGACATGGATGACGTTGCGACTGTCAATTTAGTGAAAATGGGGGGATCAAAGGCAACATTCACTCACAGATCACGTATACTAGAAACATGAGCTGAAGTCCTGAGTTGGGTTGCGAAGATGACTCCTTGTAAAAGTAGCATCGCGTTTAAAGAAAACCATGCGAAACGAGGGGTGGGCTCACCAGAGTAAAGGCGCCCCCATGCTGAGTACCCAGTTCAAAAGCAGAAACAACCAACCGCCGCTTCACCGTTGTCAGCGGTGCCACGTCCGGTGAGATGATACCCGAGACCTTCAAAAAGGCCCCCAACAATCATCCAGGTGTGCAATCACGCATCTGCCTGCCCACGCCCCCGTGAGGGTGCGACTTTCCACACCCGGGTAACACCAGTACCCAGGATGCTTTAGGACATGTGTGGCGTGGGGATTGGTTGTTCTGCGAATGAAAGGGTACCCGCCGAGTGTATTGTGCTTGTGAAAAGATGAGCTGGTGATCCCGAAGGACGCTTGTGAGTTGACTGACAAAATAATGGAAGGACAGAGCTTACAACAAGCGCATGAGCCCGCCCAATGTAACGCCACGCTCAAAGAAAAAATCGCCGTCGTATGGACGCTGCTGGACATAAATTGTAAAGCAACAGAGGAAAGTCAATACTTGAATGCGCCGCGCATCGACGAGGCCAAACCCGCCGCAAGAAAGACAAAGCCACTTATGCACCATGTTGAAACCAAGTCAACCTTCATCCAGTGGCAGTCCTGGCAGATGGTGTGTCACTCCGGCCCCCCTGACGGGAGGGGCCACGCCAACACCCCAATACCTGGATCGATTACACACCCAGGCAAGGGACGCGGCTACTTTACTACGCTTAGGCTCGAGGCCACCCACGCAATAGGAGATGTGACCGTGGCGATATCTGAGTTGGAGACGGGAATGGATGGCTCGCCTAGATTGTAATGCGCTGAGCGTTATGTCGGAGGAAGCGATGATGGTGCTGCGGCGAGGTTACGTAGAGACTATCAAAAGCCTTGAGTGGCTGACATGAGGAATTAGCGTGAGTGGAAGTTGGCGAGATGGTGTATCTTACTAGGCGTGAGCGGTGGCACGAAAAGGCGAACATCGGAAAGACGTTGTAATGCGCTGAGGGCTTGAAAGCTTGAATGTCCAGGTAAGCGATGATGTTGCGGCGGCGGGATTGCATAGAGGCCATCGAAATCGCATAGCGTTAAGCGTGAGTGGCTGACATAAAGAATTAGCGTGGGTGGAAGCTGGCGAGATAGTGTGGCTTACTAGGTGTGAGCAGCGGCGTGAAAAGTCGGAGACGAAGATCTGAAAGGCGAGATAGATAAGGCGATACAAGCAAGACGAGAACCGGTCAGGAGAAGCGCTGGTAGTGGTTTGAATCTGAGCGACGAATTGAAGCGAATTGAGAGCTCCAGTACAGCTTATTTATAGCCGC